TTTGTTTTTCCCAACATCTATTAAAATAACAAAATTACCAATATATCCTCAAATATTTTTGCATTGTCATGTAGCTCCGTCTCCCTATTTTACCCTTGTATTTTTTCAGATATTTGTCCCATCTCTCTATGTATTACTCCCTCCGTTTTTAATTACTTGTTCCATTTCTCTTGGACACGCATGCCGATGCTAATCTTTGATCACTAATATCTTTAATTATCAATAGGTATAACTTCTAACAATTGAAAATTAATAATTTATTCATTGAGATGATTGCAAATCACAAACATTAATCAAAGTAGGGTAAATGAATAGTGCAAAAAATAGAAATGGAGCAAGTATTTAAAAACGGAGGGAGTAATTGCAAATTATTGTTGACTTGTGTTTTCCCATATATTTATACTTGCAAATTAAGTTTCTTAATACCTGCGAAATCAACCCAAATGGGTCGTTTTTTCAGGGATGGAGGGAGTGGATTAATTTATCCATTTACATTAATTAAATGACATGATGTTGGTTTTAATATTAAATTATACACTAAAGATATGATGATTTAATATTATCTCGATTAATATTAGTTTATCCGTAAATTCTACATTAGTTTTTAGTGATTATCTACCTAGTCAACTAAAGATACGATGTTGGTTTTAATATTTATAAACGAACGATCCTAGTTGAAACTTTTTAATTGCTACAACTTGTAATAGTAATTGTAGTACAACTATCTATTGCGTAAAATCTATTGTAGCATAATATCTTTAAATTACATATAATTAAATTATTAGATTATATTTTTTAAAATTGTACTTCCTTAGTCCTTATTTAATGGCTTATTTGGAATTTTTTTTCACGGGAATTAAGAAAGTTGTAGATATTTTAACAATAACGACTAAGAGTACAAATTTGCATGAGAAATTAGAGAGAGATAGAGAGAAAGAAAAGATAGTTGGTAATTAATGAAGGGGTGGTGAGAAAAAATGTTGGAAAATGATGTCAAAAGTGTATAAAAATAAAAAGAAAAATGATGACAACTCATAAAAAAAACAATTTTATCTTAAAGTACACTCTTTAAATAGAATTAGGCCACTAATCTATTAAATATTACTAAAACAAAAACATGCTGACATCATTAAGGACACTTGTCAATTTCTTATGAAATTTTTTCCCGCCAAAACTATTTTTGACATCATCATTTTTTTATCTATTTTTTTTCCTAAGTTCTAAAACTAAACAATTACAATATTTCTTTCAAAATTAATAAATAAGATTATACAAATTTTTGTATGCGGCTGGCCACATGGTGCGGCAGGTGTTACTTGTAAGGTGTTACTGGTTTTCTGAGGGGTTACTTGTATGTGTTACTTGTATTATGGGGTTACTTGTATGGGTGTTACTGGTTTTGGTCAGGGGTTACTTGTAGGGTGTTACTGGTTTTGTCATGGGTGACTTGCAGGTGTTACTTGTATTTTGTGGTTACTAGTATGGGTGTTACTAGTTTTGGTTAGGGGTTACTTGTAGGGTGTTACTGGTTTTGTCAGGGGTTACTTGTATTCTGGGGTTACTTGTAGGGTGTTACTGGTTTAGTATGAGGTTTTGGTTTAGAGTTACTTGTAAGAGTTACTCGGAATACAAGTAACACCTACAAGTAACCACGCGATACAAGTAACCCCACGATACAAGAAACTCATATAAGTAACCTCATAATCACCCATACAACTAAGTAAGTAATCCATACAAGTAACCTTATAATACAAGCAACACCCTACAAGTAACCCCAGAATATAAGTAACCCTAGAATACAAGTAACACCCAACAAGTAATCCTTGCCGCACAGAAAAACCTCTGATAAGATTATGATTAAACTTTTTCGAATAAAGAATATTGACAATAATTTTAAACAAATAAAATCTATTTAAACCGTGCAACGTATGGAATTAATCTAGTTATGACTACCCAAAAATTGAATACAGCCATACAGGCCATTAGATAAGAGATAGAGGAAATAGTGATTAATAACCACGCAAGATAAAATTAAATTATTATATATCCATAATTATAAAATTTATTAATTCTCTTAGCTTTCATTTTATTTTGCTTTCATTACTATGATTCTTATCACATAAGAATGACAAGATTGTGTTACTTGTTTTCTAATAACATGCAAATGTGATCTTTAACATCAACCCTTTGTAATTTGAATGTAGGCATAAACTTATAAGGATGTTTTATGAAAATTTTCAAATTGCAGGATTTAAAAAACAATTTGTAAATTGCACCCTAAAAGTTCTTATATATTGTAAAATGTAAATCAATTTAATATTATCATTGGTTTACGTGTCGAAATATATTCGGTTCTAAACTTAAAGGTACCGAATTGAGCTCGGAATCAGCAAAAATAAATAACGTAAGTGCCTCATTTTATAGCAAAAAATATTTACTCACAAATCGATATATTTTTTGTTTGCTAAACGAGGTTGCGGCTACGTTAATAACTATATTTATATCGTTTTTAGTATTGCAAATTTCAAACCATGTTGTGATATGTACACATCTTAATTAAGACATTTTTTGTGATAAACAAGTACATGTTGATGTTGGACTGACACAACCTTAACCAATATTTGACTCATTATCATTGATTTTACTAGATCCAATCAAACAGAAATTAAATTTCATGACAATTTTCAAGCTACATGTATATATAGGGTGTAATTTTACACCTAATTTTTTCGGCCAATGTGCTCATATATGGGTGTAGAATGGACACTGCCCTTCAAGATGACTATCGTAAATTTGCACTCGTAATTTTGCTAGTTCAATTTCACAGTTATTAGATATTTAACACATATGGAGTATTAATTCACAAAATGTTTCTTAACTATAATTTAAAAAATTAGTATTGCAGAGTTAACCGTTACCTTTCGTCAAATCTTGTGGTTGCAGCTACGTTAATAACTATATCTATATCGCTGGACATTTCATTTAGCTGATCATCTGAAAGTCCCAAGTTCTCGTCGGAAGTATCACCGGCAACTGCACGTATTTTTTCCGACACGATTGAGTCAAAACTCGATCCCCATTTTTCTCTAAGTACGTTGAACAACTCCTTTCCTAACACCTGGATCCACAATAAGGCCCCGTTTGGTTTAATGTAAAACATTTTCAATGGAAAATTAGTTTTCATGGAAAACATATTTTCAAGGAAAAACACAATTGCAAATTAGTTTTCCTTTGTTTGGTTGCATACAAGAAAAGTCCAAGAAAAATAAAAAATAAGAGTGGAAATGTAAGGATAAATGAGAGAGAACTAAAAAAAACAGGTAAGGAGGAAAGATGAAAATGTGGCTTCCTTGTTTTTGGAAGGAAATTGTTTTCCATCATTAAGGATGGAATTTTCCACCCTTGAAAAACTGTTTTCCACTCCTTAACAAACCAAACAAAGGAAAATGAGAAAAAATAGAAAATTTATTTTCCATGAAAACCTTTTACATCAAACCAAACAGGGCCTAAGTACATTATCAGCTATGTTACATAACCTTTGTACGTGATCGGCAAATGAATACCTCATCTTGTAGCCGAGCGTCGGCTGCTTGAACATCACTAGCCCTTATAAGAAGGTATAGTTTGTTCATATCTGGTTGAATCTGAAGTATCTTCTCCAAGAGAACTACATAAATAATTCATCGTACAAACAAGTTATAAAAAATTAATAATAAAGAGAGAGATCAAGGTGGGTAGCTATTAGAAGAGCGAGAGTAAGAAGAACACGTACTCTTAGCAATGAAGCCAGTAGTACCAGTAATTAAGATAGTTTTGTTTTCTAAAAACTCAGTTATGCTCTTAAAATCCATGATCAAACTAACAAATACTTATTGGAGAAAATAAAAGTTTAGATTTACAATGGAATTCCTAAAATTAGCTCAAATGGCTCAACCTATTTATTAGACCAGCTAAATGGGTATGTCTACATCAAAGGTGTGGAAATTCCGAAATTATGACTTTGTTTATCAAGAATGGCCACACTCATAAATTTTTTAAAGGCATTTATTTTTATTTTTTGGTTACATTATACAATTACAATATAGATCAGATCAATAACAGTGCAATCCCTCTTTTCTGTCCTCCCATCTTTCAACATTAATAACTACAACAAAAAATTAAAAATAACTAGAAAAAAAATCTACAGTGTTGTTATTGTATAAAAGTGAAATCTATTTTCTATTTACTTATAATAAATTTAATTTGTTTCCTCCTCAAACCCACCTTTTTTTTCTTTATTTAATAAGTATGAAGTTTATTTTTTTTAAAAGGTATGAAGTAGAATTAGCTCGGACACTAAGGGCTTGTTCTCATTGACTGAAATGAACTAAACTGAATTGAACTGAACTGAAATAAATTGAACCGAACTTATTGATTAGTGATTTTTAACTATGGATTAATAAATAGAAAGAGCAATCCAATCTTGCTCAGAAAGTTCAAGAAGAAGAGGATTTTTCTCTTCTAAAGTCATGTGTCGTGAAAGTTGTAGTCGTAGTACCGTGAATGTGTCGAGAATTAAAGCATGTCGGGTTAAAGTCGTGAATTTATTGTCGTTGTGTTGTGCATTGTTCGTAGGAGCATGATCGGTTTATATTAGGCATATTATTGATGTATATCTTTTGTATATATTTAGGCTTGTATAGCTGTCTTTCCTTAATTAGTTTTAACCTAATATGCATGTATATATTAGAGGGCCCGCAAGGTTTCACTCAAGAAATCACAGAAGAGAACAAACTCTCATTTCTTCATTCTTGATTCTAGCATGGTATCAGAGCAGGTTGCTCTATAAGACGATTTTTTTTCTCTGATTTTTTTTATATTGGAGTTAGGGGGAGTCATGAGGTTAAGGATAATGTCGATGTTGTTGCTGCTCCCCATGATAAATAGCAGGCTCCATGGCCTGGTCGTGGCACAGACTCATCAGCCACGGCCACCCCGTGGCCTGCCAGCAACAACTTGCAATGGAGCAGCAAGCTTCACAACCTGGGTGTGGCGATCATGCACCTGCCGCAGCCTAGTTGTGGCAGCCTCAAACTAGCTCACAACCTTCTATTGAAGCACCTCTTGGTAAAGGGCAACGTATCCAAACTCCGTCAACGAGATTAAAAGGCTTCATCACCAACACAGTTCAAACCAATACTCCTGTCACACTCCCTAGTTCATCTCCTCCAAAGCGTTCCTCAGGTACGCCTTTTCCCATAGCTTATTATGTTAACTGTGATAAATTCTCTGTGAAACATAGGCAATTTTTTGCGGCGGTGACTACTTGGGTTGAACCAAAATCTTACTCTGAAGCGGTTAAACATCCAGGATGGTGTAAGGCCATGAAAGAAGAATTTGATGCTCTTGAACGACAAGGCACATGGACGTTGGAATCTTTGCCTCCCGGAAAGGTCGCACTTGGTAGCATGTGGGTGTATAAGGCTAAGCTCAAACAAGACGGGTGTCTTGAGAGATTGAAGGGGAGGCTTGTTGTTTTTGGCAGCAGACAATTGCCTGGTATTGATTTTAATGAAACATTTGCTCCCGTTGCAAAAATGGTGACAGTACGCATGTTTTTAGCAGTTGTTATAACTTGAAATTGGGAACTTCATCAAATGGACGTCCACAACGCATTTCTTCATGGAGACTTGGAGGAAGAGGTATATATGAAACTACCCCCTGGCTATACGCCATCGGGTTCGAGTGGTAAGGTGTGTCGTCTTCGAAAGGCTTTGTATGGCCTTAGGCAAGCACCTCGTCAATGGTTTGCCAAATTATCTTCTGCCTTGAAATTATTTGGCTTTAAACAAGCAACAGTAGATTATTCATTGTTTTGCTACACTAAGGGGGATGTGTCATTATATGTTCTTGTCTATGTGGACGATCTAATCATTGCAGGTTCGAGTCATGATGCGATACTAAAATTTAAGGCATATTTGCGTGATTGTTTTCATATGAAGGATCTCGGGGTCCTTAAATACTTTCTTGGCATTGAGGTAGCTCGTGGTCCTGATGGCTTGTTTTTGAGTCAAAGAAAGTATGTTCTTGATATCATAAGTGAGGCCGGTCTATTAGGATCTAAGCCTATATCTACTCCGATGGAGCAAAATCATCAATTAGCTCGTGTTGAGGGGGAGTTATTTTCCGAACCTGAGAAGTATCGGCGCCTTGTTGGGCGGTTAGTATACTTGACTATAACTCGACCTAAGCTATCCTATTCAGTGCATGTGTTGGCTCAATTCATGTCTTCTCCCTTGATAGCCCATTGGGAGGAAGCTCTTCGTGTCCTTAGATATCTCAAAGGGTGTCCCGGCCAAGGAATTTTGCTACGTCGTGAGTGCAATTTACAGATATATGGTTTTTGTGATAGTGATTGGGCAAGTTGTCCTATGACACGACGATCTTTAACTGGGTATTTTGTGCTTCTTGGGTCTTCTCCGGTCTCTTGGAAGACAAAGAAGCAACCTACGGTTTCTAAATCTTCCGCTGAAGCAGAGTATCGTTCAATGGCTACGACTACTTGTGAATTAAAATGGTTGAAGTCTATTTTATTTTGCCTTGGTGTACGACATAATTGACCTATGCGATTGTATTGTGATAGTCAGGCGGCATTACATATTGCAGCAAATCTAGTATTCCATGAACGTACGAAGCACATTGAGGTGGATTGTCACTTTGTTCGCGATGAGCTTAAGTCTGGTAATATTGCTACGTCCTACATACAAACAACTGATCAATTAGCGGACATTTTTACGAAGGCTCTTGGGAAATCACAATTTTTAGTACTTCTTCGCAAGTTGGGCATTCGAGATCTTCATACTCCAACTTGAGGGGGAGTATTAGGCATATTATTGATGTATATCTTTTGTATATATTTAGGCTTGTATAGCTGTCTTTCCTTAATTAGTCTTAACCTAATATGCATGTATATATTAGAGGGGCCGCAAGGTTTCACTCAAGAAGTCACAGAAGAGAACAAACTCTCATTTCTTCATTCTTGATTCTAGCAGTTTGCTGTTTTATTAAGATTGAAGTATGAGTTTATTTAGTCCATAAAATTAGATTAAGTTAAATGTAATTGTTTGTAAGTTTGAATCAAGGGGGTGTGTTGGATTAATGATTCAAACGTTTTTAGTGCTATTTTTCAAGTTAGTTGGAGAGTTAGTGGTATGCTTACTTTATTAGTTTGTCATTGAGTTTTGTAGTACGTGAGAGTAGTGCAGTAGTGGCTAAGATCATGGAATATCTCCCTAATTGATACGATTAGTTAGTTTATTTTATTTGCTATATATTATCCTTTGTATTCCATAATTTCTATCAAGTAATATTATCAATTTTGTGTTTATTTGTTGAGAAACTTTATTTTTTATTATCTTTTTTCTTTACATAAAATATAAATTCAACATAATGATCTTTGATTATTTATTAGTATTATTATTATATATATATATATTTTTTTTTGAGGGAATTATTATTATATATATGTGTATATACAAATATACATATTAAAATATTTATGAAAAATTTACTATGTAATTAAAATATTTATGAAAAATATATTTAAACATGGAACCCCAAAACATTTTTAAAATATATAATAATAATAATAATAATAATAATAATAATAATAATAATAATAATTTATTATTGTCGTTGTTTCAATATAAGCTTAAAAGTATGAAATTTTGGCTTTAAATCAAGTAATATCATTAGACATAAACTTATTAGAGCTGAACTGAATTGAAAATAATCTAAGAACAAACCCTAATTAGTTAAGTATAAAATTAGAGTCGAGAGTTTTACTTTTTTCAATGTTATGACTATAAACCATTTATTTTCATTGTTAAGGATCTAATCTACATTTTTCCGGGTCAAAGTTAACTACAAATATACAATGGTGAAAATAATTTTAGTTAGTAAAGGTTAGACCCTTCAATGAAATTATAAGAAATTGGTACTAATAGAACTAAAAAAAAAGTAAAAAAAGAATACTACATTTTTTTTTAAACCAAAAACTAAAATTATTTGCAACGATTTTATATAAAGTATGAGTAAAAAATGTTTAATTGTTACACATAATTTAAAACAGAAATAACACATAAAAATGGATTTTTTTTTAAAAAAATAAAAATAAAAGCTACGTAGCAAATAACTAAATATCAATCATCAATAACTATATACTAAAAGACACACCAACAATAACACATGTCATCTCCTAGTGTGTCTTTAGTTTTTTTTTTTTTTTTTTTTTGTGAAAAAAATTATTTAAGAATCAAATCCTTTACATATATAAAGTATTATAGAAGATTTGATGCGTCTTTCCAAAAAAAAAAATTGAAAACTATGAACTTAAATTAAGCAAAAAATAAAATAAAAAAATATTCTTATCATATTTGTGACATACGGAGTATTTATTTTAGGAAAGACATACATTATATATGAACGTATTATATATGTACGTATTATATATGTATGTATTATGTATGTCGTACGTAGTACGTAGTACATTTATTACAATAAGATTATATATTTTCTTAATAGAAGCCAAGCTACAAGCTTCAACAATGAAATGCCCATATTAAATCAACTAATGAAACTTTTGCTATTTCCTTGAATTATTTATGACTAGAATATTAATCAATTAATACTATATTATAATTAAATATGGATACTTCAATAAAATTTGCCAAGTCCGGCACATGTTGATTATTATTAGTGTAATTATTTCTTGCCAAATTTTGTTGTTCCATTCAATTGATATGAATATAACATACGAAAGTAAATTTTTTTTTTATTTTTTTTATTTTGGTGTTAATTTTAAAAATAGTTATTGAAAATTATAATATAGTGTTAATTCTAAAAATTATTTATTAGAAATTATCGTGCAGGGCACAAGAGCTAACCTAGTTGTGTAAATAAAATTCAGTTCACAACTACTCCCTCCGTCCCCAGTTGTTTGCCCTAAACAAAAAAAATCACTTTATTAAGGCTTGGGCAAAAAATGGTGTACATGGGTTGACAGTTTGACACAAATATCAATGAGGAGATAAAGAGATTGCAAGTGAAAAAACATGTCAAAAGTAGTATGGAGTAATATTTTAGAGACATGTAAAAAAGACAAGTGGAGCAAACAATTAGAGACAGATGAATTACATATTTTAAAATATAGTCCACCTTCTAGATTTAGCTACTAGTATAATTCGGATTGATATAAGAGTACATCCATTTGTCGGCAACTTCCTTCAAGGCACATTAACTCCTCTGCAACTGCAAATGATCAATGATCAAATCCCAAGACCAGAATCATAAACAAAGATCACATCTTGTCGTCTAAAAAGAACTGTACTCCGTACCGAGTAAATATTTTTTTTAAAACTAAATACTCACCCCGTCCCTAAATTACATTTCTCTTTCTTTCTATTATGTGAGGAATAAATGCTAGAAAGAGGAATGTAATTTAGGGACGGAGGGCGTACTATTTATCCCTGCCTTATAAAACAAAATCTAGAAGTTTGTTTTTATGAATAGTGCACGGATTATTATACCCATCAAAATGTTTGTTTACCATATTATTTCCATATATAATTTTGTGGTAATTTTTCTTACACTTTCTTATTGGGAAATTGCACTTACATTTCCTTAACCATTTATGAGTTTTGAACTTTCTTCCTCCATTCTCCGTTCACCTTCCTTGAAAAACTGATTACTTTTGAACATTTTACTTTCTATTTCTTCTCTATCTCTGTTCACCATCTCTATTAAAGTACTTAATTCCACAATCACAAAATTACATAAGAACAATTAAAATCACATGGGGAACTAAGAACAATTAAAATCAAATTGGGGCGAAAAAAAACTGACAATACCAAGAGATAATTCAAGAAATACCGGAAAAAAGAAGAAATGGCATGGAAGGACCTTTTTACGGTCAATGTTTTCTCATTTTATCGGAGATAGATTAGTTTGATTATGATGTTTTTGTTGGAAATAAAGAAAGGAAATTCAAAGGGTCAGATATGGGCGCCCGATCGGGCGCGAGAAGAGTCGTAAAATTCTGGAGCCCCATTGCCAGATCGGGCTAGCTCCGCTCGATCGGGCGCGAGAAGAGTCGTAAAATTCTAGAGTTCCGCAGCCCGATCAGGCGCGAGAAGACGTCTGGAAAAAAAGAGTGTCCGCCTGATCGGGCGAGCTCCGCCCGATCGGGCGCGTGTTTGTCCGTTGAACTCCAACGGATCCCTTGGATTACTCTTCTAGTTTGATTTCTTGTAACCCCCCATTTAAGAGGTTTATTATGGTGTTTTAACCACCATAAAAATTCTGATTTCATTCTTCTTGTTCAAGAATATTCTCTCTAAGATCTTTTCATCTACCTCAATCTCTATTATAAATTAGAGAATATTTTTCTGATTTCATACACTTGAAAATACATTCAAACACAATAGCTTAAACACATCTCTCTTTGGGCATAAGATACTTGACTCCAACCTTCTACCCAAAAGTGCCTTTGTGTGGAAGAGGTGTGTTAACCTTAGGGAACGTGCCGGCGAATACAATTGAGCACCGTGGTTGCGCCGGAATTTCGTTTTCAAGTCAGTGA